CTCTATCCAAGGCGTTCTCCTCAGCTCGGCACCCAAGCTCTGGTCCCTACCTGGCTACCTTCTTGGAACCTCGGGCTTATCGTTTTCTCCTCCTCTCTCCTGCATCATCAGCCTCGCCCATCCTAGAATAGTCTCTTCATCATGTTTAAGCATGCTCAATTCTTTCTCATCTTAAAAATACAAGGTGGGTGAGTGGGGAGAACAAGGCCATTGCCAGCTTTTCATTTTGCCAAGTAAGGACTTTGAGACTCTTATCTGCCTCCCACTATCATCTTTTTTGTTTTCCTAAGTAAGGAATATTTTAACTTCAAACACAGTTAAAAAGAGATCATTTCAGAATACAAACCTGCAAAATGAATACATTTAGCTAATAAAGAATTCACCATCTTGTACTTATTTTTTAGTTATTTGTAGACCAGAGGAAATCCAAGGACCTGGATCTGCAAACAACTGGACTAGAAAATCTCGGGGAGCCCTTTAGGCTCAGCCTGTCCAGCTACAGGAGCCCAGCAGACAGAACATGGGCTTTCCCTCCCCTCTGGCTGACACACCCCTCCATGGCCACAGCCTGGCTCCTTCCAGAACATCTAGGTTTGCACACTGGCCACAGCCACCTCCTGGATAGGAAGAGCCTCCATTTGAGCCCCCCAGCATCACCCAGGTTTGCTCAAGGTTGTCACATGTTTGCACCCCACCTGCCCTGAACTAGCAGTCACCTCCAGAAGAGGTCACACAGTGCCAGGTTGCAGACCCATCACAGAGGCTAAGAGTATTCTGTGAGATGCGCCAGCTAAACAGACACTTGTTTCCACAAAATCCTCAACACTTCTGAATGTATACAGCAAGAGTACCATGTGCAAGGGCAATGGCCAGGCCTGGGACGTGAGAGGCCAGGGTTCGTGTCGCAGGTCCGCCCCTATGGCCTTGAGGAAGCCATTCACCTTCCCCAAGTCTTGGTTTTCATCCGCAAAATGAGTATCATAAAACCCATCTCATGGTGTTATGTAATCAGAGAGCCTGGAACGGTGGCTGGCACCTAGTAAGGGCTTTTATGATAAGAACCCTTCCACCATGAAGAGCGTTTTAACACTGTGTTCTGAAATGAGCGTATCTGGCACAGTCCCACAAGGCAGGCGTATTGTCCCAGGTTTACAGATAAGGGAGTGAGGCCCTTGGAGGTGAAATGGCTTTCCCAGTGTCCCTTAGCTTACAACAGTAGAGCCACACTTTACACCCAGGCCTCCTGACCCCGAAGCTCTTACCCTTTGCACTGAAGCCACCTCAGAGCAGAAGAGAGGAGAGGCCAGACTGCTGTCAGCAGTGGAAACCCCTGTCTGTCCTCGCAGGCTCTCAGGGCAGGATTCTGGAGCTGGGCTGGGCTGGAGCTGGGCCCTAACAAGCACGGGAGGGCCTGGCAGGTGGAGGAGACTCAATCTCTCATCTTCCCACACCTGGCCCCATCCAGCCTCCGGAACCACAAGAGCTTTCAGGGACTTCAGCTGGACACTGAGGCTGGGCCTGTTGTGAAGTGTCAGAAGAGACCCCAGCAGGGTCCTGGCTCGGACACCTGGCAAGGCTGCGCTGGGGGTGGCTGGAGTGTCTCATAGTTATGTTTCTATTTCCTGAGATATTTCTTAGAGCTACCCATGGACTGTAGGCTTGAAAGACATTGGCATAAGCAGATGCATGCCTGGAGGATGGATAGGTGCATTCCTGATACTGTAGACCCTTCCCCCATCCCATAACCTGGGGGGTCTTATGGGTTCTTGGGGACCTGGAAGGTGACGGGCTGTAAGAGCCCAGCTGAGTCCCACAGTCCCTACTGCCCTGGAACCCTGGCACAGAATGGCCCTCAGGTGGGTGGGTGGAGTGGAGCGGGTATATCTTCAGGTCACACTCTACCAAGAGAGTGCTTAGTCCCAGCCCTGCACAAAAGCCAGCCTGTCACTGGATGTGGGGCTCAGAAATTACATGACCATAAGAATGTAATGAGGCCAGAGTGGACTTCCTTCACCACAGCTTTCGTGTGGATGCCCTCCATGTCAACACGCTGACTCTGTAACAGGCCCGCTGGGCTGGCTCAGTGCCCCCACACAGAAACAGAGCCCTTGGATCATAGCTTCTGGGCCTGGGGTCCAGTTGTGGCCTTGTCCTGGACTTCCTGGGGCTTCGCTCATGTCCCTGCCCTCTGTGGACTTCAGTTTGCCCACAGCTGGGATGAGGTGGGCAGCTTAAGCTCAGAGGCTCTGTCCAGCTTGGAAAACCTCAAGTGGAAAGGAGATTTGCTGTGCAGAATGGGCCATTTGTTCCAGGCATGGCTGAGCCAGGAGAAGTGGCAGCTGCCAGCAGGATCTGCACGTGGCTCCAGATCTGTTGTTTTTGGAGGGTGGATTCATGAGAGCGGAGGCGGGGCTCTCTCTCCCTGACTTTACTGCAGGCCTATCCTCATAAGTTCACCAGCCCAGAGGAGACCAGGATGGGAGACCCTGGTCAACATTCATTTTTTCACTCGTTCATTCTTTCATTCACTCACCAAACTCAAAACCTATTACACGCTATCAAAGACACAACAATGATTAAGTGGTGTCCCTCCTCCGAGGCGAGCGTGGGAGACAAAGCCAACAGCACTCACTGACCACAGTGTGGGGAGCAGTCCCGAGGCAGGGAGGAGGGGAGGAGTCTGGGACTGGGACAGTGGTAGTGGGCATGGACACAGTGGATGTGTTTGAGGTCTTTCTGGTGGCCTGTCAACAGGGTTGGCTGGGGACTGACTACATTCTGGAGATGGGAGAAGCTGCATCGGGCATGATGCCTTTGTGCTAGTCTGGTGCTGGAGTGCACATCTGTGGCCCCACAGGCCTAGGGTTTCAGGAAAAGGAGGCCAGTGTCCAGAGCTGCCCTCACTGCTGTAATTTTCAATGTTAGACTCTCCTGCTTTCTCATAGACAGAGCTAGTGGCAGCTACCCCCAGCCCTGGGTGACTCTGGTCCCGGGTACTGGGGCAAGTAGGACTACTCAGTTGGGGTGTGTGGAATGAAGGCTCCCTCACTGACCTGCATTCTCTGGAGGCTCCCCCAGGTCCGGGAGGAGCCTGAGGGCTGGATGACTCAGAGTGGTTCCCTGTTTGGAGTCTACTGGGAGCTGTTCAGAGCAGGAAGCACTGCCCCAATGCTTCTAGGAGGGAGGGCTGACGAGGCAGCTGGATGGTGGGGAGAGGGAGGGGACTCTTCCCTGCACAGTCCTCAGAGCTGTCCTGACTCACACCAAGCTGCCAGCAGGTGTCCTTGTGACTCGAGAGTGACTTACCCTCTCCACGCTGCCAGTCAAGGTCCTGCTCCTGCCTCCAGACCAGGCGTCCCCAGACTTTTTACACAGGGGGCCAGTTCACTGTCCCTCAGACCGCTGGAGGGCTGCCACATACTGTGCTCCTCTCACTGACCACCAATGAAAGAGGTGCCCCTTCCTGAAGTGCGGTGGGGGGCCGGATAAATGGCCTCAGGGGGCCGCATGCGGCCCACGGGCCGTAGTTTGGGGACGCCTGCTCTAGACCCTCTACAGGATCTCTCCCTTCTCTAAAACTCATGGCTGAATCACTCTGGAATCCTAGACGGCCAAAATGAGTCCTGGATTCCCCTGTTCAGATGGCTAAACTGAGGCAATAAGAAGCAAAGAGACTTGCCAGAGGCCGTAACAGGCTGTGGGAGAGATCCAACATGAACCCAGAACTCTCTGCCTAGCTGCCGTGCCTTAAAGAGGCTGTCCCAGGAGGACTGTGTCTACGTCTGAGCCCCTCTCCTGTGTCTCTATGTGAGGGCTGCAAAGGAAGGAAGAAGCCCAGCAAATGTGCCCCTGGCTCTTGCCCTTGGGGGTGAATGTTCAAACAGTGGACATATCCCATTACAAAATCAGGACATCCACAAGGGCCCTTGTAGGTTAGACTGACCGCTCGTCCTGGAGGGTGGCATGACCGTGGCAGAAGGGGAAGGGAACAGCTAGGGGCAGCAGCTATGACAGCGGCACCAGGTGCAGTGAGCACATCCAGGAGCCACCTCATTAATTCTCACAATGCAGGAGGTGAGTTCTGTCAACCCAAATTGCAGGTAACATGAGCAAGAAATAAACATCTGTTGCTGTAAGCTACTGAGCAGAAGCTGGTTAGTAGTAGGAGGCAAACACAATATGCTGGTCCCCATGTAAACATAGCGTTACCGGGAGGAACAGACATACAGACGGAAAGAAAGAGTGAGGGGGAAGAGGAAAAATGAGAGGAAGAGGAACAGGGAGAGAGATGCTACGTGAGCCCTGCACCTGAACGTCTGGACTTCCCTTTGCAGGAAGAGGCCAGGTCCCCCAGGAGAACACATCAAGTTCACGGTTCACCTGTGATGATCACACTTCTACCTACTATCATGATGGTGATGATCATCACTGCAGCTGCCTTTTTGAGTTCTGACTATGTGGCAGGTTGTTTTTTCAAATATTATTACTTATGTTTACAACTATTCTACAAAGTAGATATTTTCAGTTCATCAAATAGTTATTACTATCGCTGCCCATTTATATAAGAAAGAACTGAGTCTTTGAGAAGGTACCAGCCAAGGTGATGTGGCTGGGCTGGGATCTAGAGCCAGGACTGTGGGATGCCAGAGCCAGCCTCTCCCTCTGGGGGAGCGTCACAGCCTTGCCCCTGGCTCTGCGGGTGGGCCTGAGGCTGGGCTGGGCAGTGGGAACTGGCTTTAGTTCTGGGCCCTCACATGGCTGCCTGGGGCAAGAAGGGGCCACAGAAACTATCCCGGCCATGGCAGGGGTCATCACTCCTCTTTCCCGTGGGGATCGTTATGGAAGAACCCTTGACCCGAAGCAGAACTGCCTGGGTGTTGCCGCTAAGCACCATGCAGTTTTCCTGCCCCATCCTGGGTCTCAACTTCCCCCTCAGTGAAGGAGATGTTAGAGGAAAGCTAGGATCCTGCAAACAATCCCTTCCCCGCACTGGCCCAAACCTGCTCCGAAGGCAAAGAAGCAGATCTTGTCCTCGTTCTCCTGCAGAAGCGCCATGACCCTCTTCCCCATGCGCTCATTCCTCTTGTAGATGAGCTCCTGGCGGAAGTAGCTGTCAATCTCCTGGGCCGTCACCTGCTCGTGTGGCGGGAGGGTAGTGTTGATAAAGTTGGGCAGCTGCAAAGGCAAGACAGAGGCTGCCTTCAGTTGGTTTTATTTTTTAATTTTCTTTTTTAAATTTTTGATAAAGGGTCTTACTGTCGCCCAGGCTGGAGTGCAGTGGCACCATCATGGCTCACGGCAGCCTCAACTCTCTGGCTGAAGCCATCCTCCTGCCTCAGCCTCCCAGATAGGCATGTACCACCAGGACCAACTAATTTTTAAATATTTTGTAGAGATGGAACCCTACTGTGTTGCCCTGGCTGATCTTGAACTCCTCCTGGACCCAAGCAACTCCGGCTGTGGCTTCCCACAGTGCTGGGATTATAGGCACGAGCCACTGTGCATGACCTATTGTCAGTTCTTTATGGAGCAAGGTGGACTTAGGATAAATATGCACAGCCCAAGTGGGGCTGGGCAACTTACTTTTATGAGGTCCCTACAGTGGGCTACATATCATGTATACACATATACCTCATCAACTCCAAAATCCTCTGAGATAAGCGTTATTCCAGTTTTAAAGATGAAGCAAGCAAGAGTGGAAAAGATCCAGAGATGTGCAAAGCTGCATAGCTGGTAAAGGGGCAGTGCCAGGACAAGGCTCAGCTGCTGGGCTCCTACATGCATTGCTCTGCCTGTGTCTCTGCCCTGTTTAACCTCAGCAGATGCTGAGGTCTGGGGAGGCTGGCACTGTGCTCATCTTGTTTACGGCTCTCACTTCACCACCGAACCCAGTGCTGGCATGTATGATGAATTCAGTCCAGCAAGAGGATGTGCAGGGTCCACTGAGCTGCCTGGTACAGCAGGAAGGCCACTGAGTACAGGATTAGGCTGACCTGGGCTTCAGCCCCCGTTCTGATGCTGTGTGGCACTGGGCACGTGACTTAACTTTTCCGAGCCCCAGCTTTGTCACTTGTAAGATGAAACTGATGATATTGTGGGGATTCAGTAAGAGGATGGGGGCTGTCATGGGCTGCATTCAGCACATGCCCTCCTACAGAGATGAGAGAAGAGATCATTACTTTTGATTTTCCCAATGCCTGAGCCACCATCTGCTGCCACCACCAACTCCCCATCCCTGCACCACCACTTTCCAGGGCACAATGCAAACACCTCCATCCCTTTTTGAAAAGCTCAACCCCAGGGCCACAGCTTCCCCCAAGTTGGTTTGCTCAACAACCTAGCCTGGAGCTGCCTAGCTGAGCTCTGGGTGTTTCACCATCACCCCACACTACGCACCCGGCCACATGGCCTGGGAACGGCATCATTAACATTCTCTTTTTTTTTTTTTTTTTTTTTTTTTAAGACGGAGTTTCGCTCTTGTTACCCAGGCTGGAGTGCAATGGCACGATCTCGGCTCACTGCAACCTCCGCCTCCTGGGTTCAGGCAATTTTCCTGCCTCAGCCTCCTGAGTAGCTGGGATTACAGGCACGTGCCACCATGCCCAGCTAATTTTTTGTATTTTTAGTAGAGACGGGGTTTCACCATGTTGACCAGGATGGTCTCGATCTCTTGACCTTGTGATCCACCCGCCTCGGCCTCCCAAAGTCCTGGGATTACAGGTTTGAGCCACCGCGCCTGGCAACATTCTCTTGAACTAGGCAGAGAGCTCCCTGGGTTCAGGGACAGAGCTTTTGCCATTCCTGGCTCCCAACACCTGGCACAAAGAAGGTACCCAGATTCCCTGAACCTCGAACTTAAACTTGGGCTGTCCCTTTCTGAGCACAGTTGCCCCCTGTGTTCTTCTGTTTCCAATATTTTGTCTTTCCAACTGGATAACAGGCCTAGGTGCTCCTGCACCATCTCCTCCAATATGTGTTTGGTTTGAGGCTGTTGAGGCAACTGAGGCAGGGAGTCAGAACATACTCTCTCTTTCCTCACAAGCTGCCTATGTCATTCCAAACTCCAAGCTTTTGCTCACAGGATATCTTCCACCTGGTTTCCCACTTCCACTTCTCTATCTTCACCTAACCAGGCCCAAAGCACAAGACACCAGACCTCGCCAACGGATGGGTGAGGTGGATGGAGAGCCTAGTGCGAGGAGGCTAATTTCCTGCAGGTTTAAGCCCCCCAGATGGTCTTGCAGCCAGCCACATGGCTTCGAGAGCCCCCACAGCATCGTCAGCACTCCTTCTGAGGAAAATGGGGTAAAAGGGACTCGGAGGAGCTGGGATAGCTGCCTCTGCTATCTGCCGGCCAAGGCCTCGTGTGTTTCCCAGAGTGAAAGGGGAGGTAAAGGTACATACACCATGGGGCTTCTCTGTCGGAAAGGCCTGATTCGCTCGCTGCCTTGGTATGAACAAGACAATAACATGGCTGATGTCCCCTAACCTTGTGCAGTGTGCAACATGCATAGCTGTAGACAGCAGTCTTGCTAGTGCCCAATCAGAGTTGGCAATGGAATTCTCACTCCCCCGCATACCCGCTTTGAAAGCGAGGATTGGAAATCCTAACAAAACAGGGCACGCTTGGACTTGATGCAGCTATGGGAAAACACTGAAGGCTTCTGAATGCGGAGAAGCACAGACAGGCCATGACTCAGAGGACTTATTTCTGGAAATATGACCCTCATAGGTTCTCCTTGTTCTTTAGGTATTCTGGATAATGATGTGAAAACTGCGTCGTAGCATCAAATAAGTATCTGCCCAATCAGTGAACGAATGAGTGAGCAGTGGGGCCTCAGAAGTACGGGGTTATGAATGTAGGGCCTGAAGTCAAACAGCCAGGACAACTTGGGTTGGAATCCCTCTTTTGCAGCTTACTAGCTGAGTGGTCTCTCTAGAACCAGAAAGTTACTTGGCCTCTCTGAGACTCAGTTTCCAAATTGGTAACACGAGGTTAACACACATTATTTTAGGGATTAAATGAGATGAGTTTTAGAAAGTGCTTACTGAGCACTGTGCCCGGCACAAAGGATGTCCTGAATCAATGTCGGTTATCATACACCTGGCCTGAGGATGGAGCTGACTTCATCACCTTTCCCAGTGAAGGGTGGCCTTGGGCAGAGGGTAAAGACGAAAGTGACAAATAAATGGCTCTGAGCCATCGGACAGTACCATGAGGCAGCACTCCACTTCCCTTTTCCTTCCAAGGGTCCCAGGAACCTGAACATGTGCCCAGCCCTTCCTCCCATGCTTCCTGACCACAAATGTGTATTTGCATAAAGATGATTCTCCATTCGTTAATCGGGGAGTTAAAAAAATTAACAAGGACAAGAACCCAAAAGTGAAATTTTAAAGCCGTGAAAGAGTTGGGCTAGCTCCCCAGGCTCCCTGGGCTGGCCAGCCGCTGGCCGGCATTCTCTGCATGTCTCATGCTGAGGGGCCTTGGCTCCATGCCAAGGATGAGGCCTGGGTTTGGGCCAGGGCTGGGATGGAAGCAAATTAATGATGTCATTAAACTTGTTGGGGGCCTTAAATCTTCTATGACAAGTTTAAGTGCAGGATGCACAATAACATTTTAAAGAGGACATGTGAGGTCTCCAGGGATGGGGTGATGAGGCAATTGGTTGGACAGGGCTGGGGCGGGGCTGTGGGGGCTGATTTCAGTGTAGGTTTCCCTGACTCATGAACCACGTCAGGTCTAATGGTCAAGTGCTCAGATCTGCTGACACCACCTACCTAAACTCCGCACCCCTTCCCTGTAGCCCATCCATCCAACAGACACCCTGTGGGAACTTCTATGAGCCCGGCCCTGTGTTGGGCTAGGGGGCCTGAGTGCTTCCTCAGACTGGTGGTCTGCTGCTCTCGATGAGGCTCACAGCCTGATGGGGGAGTCAGATATGTGCACAAGAACACTGATGGATACATGCTTTGAGAGGACAATGAAGGACGTGTGAGCCCAGAGGAGGCACCTAATAGGGTGATCACATGTCTTGGTTTGACCAGGACAATCCAGTTCGATGAATTGTATCTGACTCCCAAAATTATCTGGGTTTGGACAATAAATATAGGCAGCGACTCTACACCTAAGGCAGGTTTAGGGCTCAGGCCGGGCTTCCAAGGGGCAGGCCTTTGGACCACTCTGCTGTTGCTGGGCATTGCGAGTACCAGTGGCCTGGAGCCTGCAGAGGCCAGGGACACAGCCATTGCTGTAGGTGGGGACAGTGGAGCCAGCATGCAGGCCACGGGTGAGGCGCCCCTGGCCCCTGGCCCAGTGTTATCCATCCAGACCCCGTGCCTGTCCTGCCCTGGCCTCCAGACGTTGCTTCCTCATCTCCCACGTTATAGCCAGAGGCATCTTTCTGACCACAGCGCTCTCTGGCTTGTACTCTCCACCCCTTAGCAGCCCTCTATATCCCCATCCAGGGGGCTCTACCGCTAAGCCTGGTTCTCATATCACCTTCTCCCTTTAGAAAGCCTTCAGGCAAAGGGACTATGGCCCCACAGCCTCCGTATCCTCAGGTGTCCTGAAGACTTCGAGGCCCCCAGCTGTATACACAGCCCTACCTCCACCAGCTCCCCATGGGAACTGGATTTAGCCTTCCACCCCGATGCCAAGCTTCTCTGCACCTTGGGGTAGGGTTGCTAGCCCTTCCTCAAGTGACTAGATTCTACCTGTGAATCCCTGGGTGCAGCCTGGGCTGCTCTTCGAATGGATGGCCCAATCCACCCACCCTCTGTCCCACTTCAAGTGTGGGGACTGTTGGGAGACATGTGAGGCAGTTCCACTTGCCAAAGGCAAATCAATGATCTGGACCCAAGCTCAAAGAAATTCTGAGCTGGCCTTCTCCTGAGGTCACCTCGTGCCTCCCTTTCTCAGCTTAGAATCAGCCACAGTCTGGCCCGCACCCTGTCCTGCATATGCCCACCCTCCTGGCCACATCATGGCCAGGCCATTGTGAGTAACGGCCAAGGCCTTCTTTGCTATAGAGCTCCCTGGCTGCTCAGGGCTTATGGGGGTCTCCCTCAGCAGATGAAGCAGGGTGGGCCTGGCCGCAAAGAGGGTCACGTGTAGGTGAGATTCCTACCAGCCTCGTGGTGTCAGGGTTCTTCTCTCCACCCTCCCTTCTCTGCCACTGAGTCTGAGCTCTCAGAATCCTAAGTCTCCTATGGCAAAGTCTCCAGTTCTTTCCTCTTTGATTGTCTGTGCTGCAGCAAGGATGCCACACAGCTACATTTCATCAAATGACAGTCACTAATGGCATGTGCTCTGTGCCAGGCCTGAGCTGGGCAGTGGGGACCGAGAAAGGCAGTACACTGTCACCCTCAGGAGCTCCTGGTCTGTGGGGCAGGTACTGATAGAACACCACGGCCCAGCTTGGCCGGGCTCTGTCTGCAGGCTACTCTCACCACCGCCTTCCTCTTCTCCTCTTGCCTCTGGCTCACTGGTACATGGTTTCCTCTGCTAGAACATTACTCCTCCCCTTATCTGTAGCCAGCTCAGGTTCTTCTGTGCCCTCTCATCTTGCAAAAATCTTTCCTTCTCTCCTATGCACAAGCCCATCTAAATCAGCCATTCCTTCCGCAGGCTCCAAATGCTTCCTCCACTCCTTCCTCATAGCAAGGATCACACTTTGGTACAGTTTATGCTTGAATCTCCCCATCTTTCCTGTGTGACTGTAAGGCCCTTTCCATAGCACTGTGTCTAGCATTTATAAACCATTTCATTCATTCATTCATTCATTCATTCATTCAGCAAATGTTTACTGAGTCTAGCCCTGGGCCAGTGGCTGCTTCAGCCAGTTGAGATAAATCCATGAATAAAACAGACCCAAACTCCTTGCCCCCATGGAACTTATATTCTAGTAGGGAGAGCAACCAATAAAGAGTCACTAATCAATGAATCAAGTAGACAGTGTGTTAGAGGATGGCAAAGGCCCTGGGGAAAACAGTGTAGCCTAACAAAGAGGGTGAGAGTATGGGCATGCAGGCCAGGCTGCAATTCTGAGTGGGGTGGTTGGGGCCAGCCTCACTGAGATAAGATTTTAGTTAAGTGCTGCAGGCAGAGAAGGAGTGAGCCATGGTCATACCTGAGAGAAGGCATTTGGCAGAGGGAGCAGCCAGGGCAAAGGCAGAAGCTGGTAGGGTGGGTTCACAGACCAGCAAGAAGGCCCACCCAGCCCAAGTGGAGGAAGCATTTTGGAACAGACCCTGAGAGCAATGAATGGGGAGGTGTGGCGGAGTCTGAGCAGGAGTGAGCCACGCTCAGCCCTTAGGTTCTACTTGCTGTCTGATCAGCCTGGTGGCAATCTTTCCTCTAAGACTCAAATCAAAGCAGAATGCCCTGGGCTGGGCTCAAGTCCAAGCTCTAAATAACTGTGGGCTTTCCTTCCCTGGAACTTAATTTCCCCAGATGTAGAACTGAATGTCTCAGAGGCCTCCCGGGTCTTACAGGCTAAGCTTCCCGGGTCCTAGGACCCAGAGCCATATAGATCTGGCTCAAGTTGCTGCTCTTGGTAACTTAAAACTCAATAACTCATAAGCTGTGTGGCCTTGGACAAACCTCTTCTCATCTCTGAGTCTGAATTTCCCCGTTTATAAAAGGGGGATAACAATAGCTCCTTCTTGCCATGGCTGGAGAGAAGACTGCCTATGCCTGGCATGCAGTAGGGATCTAATAAATGCCACGTATCCCAGTCTTTGGAGCAGAGCCTCACCTGGGACGTGTCGTGGTTGAAGATGACTGCGTTGAGATCTCCGCAGTTGTAGTGCTTGATGAGATCCTCCGTCGTGTAGTGGGCCTGCAGGCTCCCGGCCCGCACACTCTCTTGCTGCAGCAGGGTTTGGTTCAGGGCAAACAGCACCTAGGCCGAGGAAAGACAGAGAAATGAGGGCTGTGCTGAGGGATCCTGGCTGAGCTCTAGGACTGGCCCTCCTTCCTCTAGACTTCAGAGCAACAGACCTGAAACCGAGAAGGTGTGTGGGGCCGGCACCAGCTGGCTCAGGCTGCATGTTTCCAGTTTCTGCTCCTGCCTCATGTCTCTGAGCACGTTCAGCCTGCTCTCACCTCCAGCCCTTTACCCACACAGGTCCCACTCCTGCTCTGGGTCTCAACATCTTATTAAAGATGTGGCAAAATGAGAACGCAGCTTGGGTCTGGGTTTTGGAATGACAGGTGAGTTGTTCTTTTGACTCCTTTGTGTTCCTGTGCTTAAAAGTGGTCTAGAATGAGCATGAACTCATTTTGCAGACAAGAGCATCCCGCAAAGCAAAAGGACAGAAGCAAAAAGCCTGGTTCGACGTCAAGGCCCACCTATAGGCCAGCTGCCCTGGAAGGCTTCCTCACCAGGGAAAGGCCTGAGGAGATGGGTCCCTCAGCGTCTGATCTATCCTTGGATTCAGCATGCATGTCCTCCAGCTCCTCTCTCCTCTGGACCACCATGCCTGTGCCCAGCCAGACCTACGGGTGTCAGGATCACTTGCAGTGCTAGACAAAAAGTCGGATGCCCACACCTCGCCCTCCGGGATCAGAGGCTCTATATTTTTTTAACAGGATCCCTCCATACTTCCTAAGCAGTCCGACTGTCTCTGGCATTTGAGGATTGTGAATCTAATGGAACACAACCTGCTCATTTTAGATGGGGACCCTGAAGCCCAGTGAAAGGAAGGGAGGGAGTTGCTCAGTCCACATAGCTAGGCCTGGAGCTTGTTTCGGGTGACTAAGTATCCCAGACTCCTTTGGCCAACAGAAGGGAGGAGGCTGATCATTATCTGGGCGGTTTAACACAGCTAAAGAGAAAAACTTGGTCCTGTGCAAAATGTCAGGAGGCTGTCTCAGGTTACTGGTCCCTGCTGTTGGCCCAGCTAGCCCCCCTCAGTCTTCAGGCCTGCTCATTCTGTCTGCACAATGCCTTGGACGTCAAGTTCCTAGCCTCTTCACCTAACCTCAATTCAGGCCCAAGGATCTCTCGTTGAGTCCCCTGCACCAGCCCTACCCATCTCCTGGCACACTCCCTCCTTTCTCTCTTATCCCATAGCTGTCTGCCATGGTCATCTTTCAAAAGCACCAATCTGATGCTCTCTCTCTTTCTTTTTTGCTCAAAACTTCCACAGGTCCCTTCTCCTGCAGGTTAGAGAGCTAGCTCTTCAGTAGAGCCTCCAAGGCAGTAACCCAGACCCTGCGGCGGTCAATAACCTCATTTCTTACATGGCTTCATGCTTCTAAACACTAAAATACTCAGCATTCCTTCAAGCGAAAAAAAAAAAAAAAAAAAAAAAGAAACTTCTGCCTTTGTGCCTGTGTCTATGCTGTTTCATGGGGAAATCCTGCTTCTTCTAGGCTCTGCTTGCAAACTCAGACTTAGCTGTCCAGACTCTGCTCAGCCATCTCCTCCAGAAAGCTTCTCTGACCACCTGCTGGCTGGGTTAAGCCCTTCCCTGGGGCTCCCACAGTCTCCATGGGAGGTAGGCTGCTGGATTCATGGACCTCAAGCTTAGCCCCTCCCTGTGCTCATGCTGCTTGCTGTGGAACTTCGTAGCTCCTTTCCATTCTGACCCTGGACTTCTTTCAGCCAATGGGATGCTGGTAACCATTACAAATGCAGGCCTGAAAAGCGGTTATGTGCTGCTGCTGCTGCTGCTGCTGCTGCTGCCTGCCCGTCTGCCACTGCCCTGAGGACAACTCAAGCTAGCCTGCTGGATGATGAGAGACATCTGGGGCAGAGATGTCCAGTGAAGGCCTTCCTCGACCAAGATCAGCCAACAGTCTTCCAACCCCAGCTAGGTGAACCAGCCGGGCCAAGATCAGCAGAGCCTACTCACAACCGGCCCCAGATGCATGAATAGTAAACTCTTATTGTTATTGTTACACAGCATAGTTGTGGTGATAGATAACTGATACACCATGCTTCCTTCCACTGTGGGGTGAACTTCACATTGTATCTGCTGTTTAGTTACCAGCCTCCAGAATTAGGCTATGAGCTTCTTCAAGACAGGAATTGTGTCTTGTTCATTTTGAATCTGCAGCACTCAGCGCTGTGCCTGGTGAAGACAGAGTGTCACTTCATTGTTTCTTTATTTCTTCGACACCTGCTGAGATCACATCATGGTTCAAGGCTTCTCACTGAGTCCTTAAATCTAGCCCATACAACTTCTGCAGTCTGCATTTTGAGGCATGCCACCACCTTGTGGCAGAAGGTCCTATCAAGTGACAGCAGTCACTTGGTTCAAGAACACCTAATCTGACCAGAAAAACTCATAAAATAGGTGTGCACAGCCAGGCCAAAGTACTAACACAGGCAATAGGGCCAAGCATGTGCTCATGAGATCACCTCCCTCCCCTCCCAGTTTTGTTCATGGCTGGGCAGGAGAGCTAGACTGCACTGGCTGCAGCCCTGGCTGCTCCCCTTAATGAGCTGGCTGGAGATGAGGTCAGCCCCCACCACCCCCAACCCAAAACTCCACCTCTGGGCCTTCTCCAGGCCTCTAGGCTCTGGCCGCCACCACTGAAATCTAATACGTAGTCATCTGGTGCAGGGTGTCGATGGCAGCATGGTGGCTGGGGATGGATCACAGGAGGCAGTGGCCCAGTTGCTGTGGGCATTGCTAAGGCAACAGGCACTTCCTCCCACACGGCACATGCCTCGGATGAAAGTGTCCGTGCCAAGTTGATCCGCTCTCCTCCTGTGGGGGCCAGGGACATAGGCTTCCCGTGACCACACCCGGCCACTGCACACACCTGCCCCCTTGCTGCTCGGCTTCGGCTTGGCCAAGGCACCATCTGACCTGTGGTGAGATCATCAGCCCAGGCACCCAGAAGACCTAGCTGGAGGAGAAATGTCTCCCCAGGACCTTGCTCGACTCAGAGTCACTTTTACAATCACGCGGCCGTCACAGAGCTGGAAGGTGTTCCAGTGAATTTAGTACGTTATAACCTGTGGGGTGCTAAAAACAGTCCTGGCATGTAGTAAGGGCTGGACAAGTGTTTGTTAAATAAAAAGGAGAAGAAAATAGACCCCAGGCTTCCCAGATTGGAGCTGGAAGGGTTGTGGAGTTCATCCGGTCCAGAGGCTTTTCAGGCCTTTTAAAACCGTGTTCTTTCTGTTGTTTTCCAAAGGAACCTTACTTAGAACTCAAAATATGGAGAAGATAAAAATGGAATCTTCCCTGGTTGGTGTAAGGGAGGCAGGCGGGCGCCTGAAGTCTTACTAGCTCAATGTCCCCCTGCAGCAGGGACTCCCAAGGCCTTTCTGTGGAACTGCCAGGTACCCTGGAGCCCAGTTCGAGAACCACTGATCTTATCCTGTGGCCTCATCATATTAAAGAGAGAGGAGGCTGGGGACCAGAGCAGGCAGGATGGGACTTGTCCAAGGCCACACAGTGAGTTGGGGGCAGAGTGGTCTCAACCTCCACTCTCAACTCCTGGTCCAGAACTCTGCAGTGCCCTGGACCACATGGCTGGATTTCCCAACATCCACAGGCACGGTCCACATTTATCCACACGCTCTGCCACACCCATTTTTTTTTTCCCTAGAGCCTTGTGAAGTAGCCAGGGAATATTTATTGTTAGTCTGTTACTAATGAGCCTGCTATTAATAGTCTATTACTAAGATATAAAACGGAGGCCAGATCATTGATGGGGCCTTCCCATGTGTCACAGTAGGAGTGTGATTGGGCCAGGACTGAAACCCAAGCCTATCATCCTGATCCTCCCTACTCGGGGGGAGTTTGGTGTCTCCCAAAGACCCCTGTCTTTCTTTTGCTTTAGGCACTCATCCCACTGAATTGTCTCTCTCCTCTGCCTGTTTCCTGCTGAATCCCAATGTCTCCATTAGCAGACATTCAGGCAGCACTGCAAAAGGAGGGATGCTGAGCCCGAATCGTGTGCTCTTTCCCTTTCACCTCCTACCCTGTACCATCCTTTTGCAATTTATAAAGAAGTCTTCATCCATTCATTACTAGGATTACTATGTTTATTGAGCACTTACTATGTGTCAGAAACTTTCTGCACTCATGTTAATTTATCTTTATAGCAACTCTGAGGTAAGTCTATTATTAGCTCCGTTTAATTAAAAAAAAAAAATAAATAAAAAAACAGTTGCAGCAAAGGGGCCTCAAGTACCTTGCCAAAGGTGATAAAGCTGGAGAGGGTGGGCCAGGCGTTTGGGCTAGGCCTGGAATGTACCCTCTGAGTCAGCCACTGCCTTGTATGCCCTCCCACTGCTGTCCCTGGAAGACAGCCAGGAGAGATGTTGTCCCTAGTCACAGATGGGAAACCACAGAAGCAGAAGGGCCTGATGGGCACAAGGCCACACAGCCGGTAAAGGACAGGGCTGGGGTTTGAAATTACATCTGGCAGCAGACCAAGTTCTCACAACCAAAACTTCAGTGCGGCGTGTGCTCCTTCACGAGCATCCTCGGTACTTCCAAGAGACAGAGGGAAGCTACATTCATTTATTCACAAACATTTACTTTCAGCCCTTCTCTGCAGGGATTTGAGATTAGTAGATTAATTGGACTTGGCTTCCATCTGTGTGGAGCTCATTTTAGAGGCAGATGTGCCAACTGGCTGGCACAGCAAGGGTGGTAAGTACACAGGCTTTATAATGAAGCGCCTGGCCCTGACTCCTGCTTCCCTCCCACTCACCCTGAATGCCCAAGCCTGGTGCCGCTCAGATTCGGGATGTCTTCTGGTCCTGGCCACCTTAGAATAACAAACCTTTGCACATCACCTTGGTGGCCCACTCTAGGATAATGTTTATGATAAGGCTTTGACATGGAATAACAAACATCGGGGGAAGGCCAGGGCTGCCTGTCTCCCCCTGCATGGCCGGGTGGGGGCCCAGCCACCGAGAGCTCCAGAGCA